AGACACAAAGTAAATAGATGCTGTTAGAAAAAGGGTACTGAGACTTGCTTGACATAAGGTTGCCAGAAACCTCTATTTGAAAAACAAAAACCCTATGGCAACTGTGAAACACCATTAACTCAAAAAACAAAATTCACTCAACCAGGAAGGGTGGCCCGCATCTGAGACACGACAGCTTCTTAAACAAGCTCCTTTCTTCTCTTCCCAGACCCCTTTGCTGATCCAAGTAAGGGTGATGACCTGCTTCCTTCTAGGACTGAGGATTATATCCATATAAGAATTCAACAGAGAAACAGCAGGAAGACCCTTACAACTGTCCAAGGGATCGCTGATGATTACGATAAAAAGAAACTAGTGAAGGCGTTTAAGAAGTAGTTTGCCTGCAATGGTACTGTAATTGAGCATCCAGAATATGGAGAAGTAATTCAGCTACAGGGTGACCAACGCAAGAACATATGACAGTTCCTTGTAGAGACTGGACTGGCTAAGGATGACCAGCTGAAGGTTCATGGGTCTTAAGTGCTTGTGGCTCACTGAAACTTGAGGATTTCCTTGCAATGAGTAGAAAATTTCCCTCCTGTCCCTTGTCACAAGTTTAAAACTTCACAGCTTGTATAATGTAACCATCTGGGGTCCACTTTTAACTTGGACTAGTGTAACACTTTCATGCAATAAACCGAAACGAGCCATGCTGTCTAGTCTGGAAGTCCCTCATTTAAACGGAGGTAAAGCAGTAGGCACCTGACAGTGCCCCGCCTGAAACAAAGCAATAACATGATGTTTCAGCCAAACTCAGATCCCCAAGATCGTAGATGGCTGGCTGTGTCTAGCCCAAAATGCCCCTACTCCAAAAGGCCAACCCAGCACCTGAACACCCCTAGATGGAGCTGAGAGGATGGGGTGAGGCTGCTGTACCACTAGAAGGAGCTGTGGTAACAAAAGAAAGATCATTGGTGTCTTCAGCCCAGCAAAGCAGGCAGAGCTTAGGAGTGAGATGGGACATCTATCTGCCACCAAGGTCTTAGTTCTTTCTGACCAGACATAATCCTGAAGCCTTGTCTGTCCCAGAAAACACCAGGATGTGAGGCAAACTTCAGAATTAAACTTTTGACAAGGGAACAGTCAAGGGATCAGTCCTAGCTAGCTGTAGAGTTTGCAGCTTCATAGCAACAGCGGCCCAATACCCTGTGAAGGAACAACTGGTTCTCCCACCACCACACTTTTCAGTTTTAATGTTATGTAATGTATTTAAACTTATTTAAATAAAACTTGTTTTCAGAAAAAAAATAAATAAAAATTCACTCAACCAAACTTGAATCAATTTTCATTCTTAACAACCTTCCGATGGTTTTATGAAGCTGTCATCTTTCTCCCTGGAAGTTGCTGGTGGATTCAAACTGAAGGAAATGCACTGCCTTTTGATGAGAAACATCACATGCTACACATTATGCCACCAGATCTCCCTGAAGCTCAATAAAGCAATATGCATCACTGGAGTTTTATTATCATCCTTGCTTGCTTGTTGCCTTGCTTTCATGTTCTGTATTTAATTTTTCTAAACACGTTTATATTCATGAATTGTCTGACATTTGTTAGGATTAACTCAACAGCAACTGGTTTAATGGCCACAAATAGAATGTCATCTGACAAATCATAAAAACTTACCAACTAATCATGTCTAAGAATCTTACTTTTGCTTACTTTATTTTTCCTACTTAACAGAACTCATCTCACTTCATTGACATCAAGCTGGGACTAATTCATAGTTGGCCCTCCAAAGGATTTTCAGAGGCTATATAAATCACGTCAGAGGAGACAGCTCATCTTTTTCCCTTGGAGCAGCTGGTAGATTAAAAATTCTTGCATTTAGGCTGGCAGTCAAACTCTGCCTACCTGGCCACCACAGTTCTCTCAACAACAGAAAAAAGTATATATATTCAGTGTTGACTCCTTCCCTTTAAAGTTAAGAATTGAGAATCACGCCAATCCTAAGAATTAATCATTAAGTTATCTAACAAAAGTGGTAAGTCACATGAATGGCATGTACTATCTTCTTTCTCAATGGCCCCAATGACCAAGCACTTACTTAAAATATTTTACTTAGTAATCCTTTACTGAGCCATCAATACATTTAGCCATACTCACCACAGGGCTGTACAAAGGAAGAAGGTTCTGAAACACACAGAAACACTTCTGTTTACTTAAATGGCCGTCCTTTAATGCCTGAGCTACAGTCTCCTATAACAATAAAAAATAATTTAATGTCAGCAGAGGAAACTTCTAAAGATTTATCAGATGAATAGTAGCCTAGTGGCAAGACGCTGCACTGCAATCCCAGAGGTACGTGGTTCAAATCCACCAGATGCTTTGCTGGAGAAGGAGGGGACAATCTCCTCCTGTACCAGTCAGATCTGATTTGACGGTTGTTGTTGTTGTTGTTATGTGCCGTCGAGTCGTCTGCGATTTGACGGTACACGTAAAAATAATACAATAAAAATTAAAAAAAAAAATAGATTCATCAGATGAACAAAAGACAAATCAGTATGTATAGAACTTCCCTCGTGACCCTATGGGCATTTCAAATATCTCAAATTAAACCCACCACAACTTCTCCCTTTTTCTTGTAGTTTATGTGCTATCAAGTCACAGCCAACTTAAAGCTGACCTTCCAGTAAGTATTCAGAGGCTGTAACTCACAAGGGAGACTGCCCACCTTTCTCTCATGGAGCAGCTGGAGGATAGGAAATGTTAAATCGTTGGAATGGCAGTGCAACTGTCTAACCACTAGGCCACTTTGCTGGAGCCCAAATCTCAAACCTACTGTCACTGAGGTGGTTCTGACTGGTAATGACCCTAAAGGACAAAGTAGAACTGCTCTACAGGGTTTCCAAAGCTGTAAATACTTATGGAAGCAGATAGCCTTATCTTTCTCCCGTTAGTAAGCAGCTGGTGAGTGCAAACCACTGACCCTGGGTTAGCAGCTTAATACTTAATACACAGCTACACTAAAACAAGTTTAAGATAGATATTAAAAATCAATTATTTGGCAAAACAAACATTTTAAAACTTACTCTTAAAGAAATGTTTTTTTGTTTGGTTTTTTTTTTTTTTTAGTCAGGAAAAGCACTTGTATTATGAAGTTAAATAAATAAATAAGTCTAAAAGAAAGGGAGAAACTTGCTCAACTTTCTAAGAGCTGCTGATGGATTCAAATTGTCAAAGAGGCTCGCCTTTTGAGTTAGCAGCTCAACTACCCAAATTGACTGTGCCATAAATTCTCTTTTGTACTGTAACTCAGACTCTTTTCCACTGAGTGGAAATTAACTCAGAGCTGATTCTCCAGCAGGTTTTCCAAGCCTTTAAACCGCACAAGAAGATATTGCTTGTCTCTCTCCCGCATAACCACTGGATGATTCAAGCCAACAGAGAGGCATCACCTTTGGATTAACTGTGCAACTGCCTACAGACTACACCACGATTTTTCTATACTAAAAAAAATTAAACAATACTAATAAAGCTTGGGACATTAAACAATGTATATTTTCTTCTGCTAAAGTAATTATCAATAGTTCTTCCATACCTTTGTTAATGCCTGGAAAATATTAGAAAGGAATTCACAAGAAATATCTTTCAATATTTTCAAATGCAAGTCATCTCCCACTGAGTCAGACTTCTTAGTCTCATCTGTGCTAGAAATTGCCAAGTTCTGTGATTTCTTCTGACAATGTTCTATATTTTTTAAGACCCGAGTCAGGCTGTCAATTAGAAGATGATCTACTGTATGAAGAAATTCAGAAGCACAAAGTTAATCAGTTAGATTTGCCCTTTCATTTATACATGTATTTATTCAACAAATAGGACTAAACATATAGGGGCATCTAATAGTACTGGGCATTGCCTTAGGCATTAAAGATACTCTATTATGTATTTTGAGTCATAATTCGAGAAACTGAACTAAAAGAAGACTGTATCATCATGATTGGAAGAAAAGAACATGCAGATGAGAAAACCTCACTTACAGAAAGTGAAGAGGACTGAAAGCATTTAATGGATAAATCAAAACAGTCAATATGGAGAAAATAAGTCTTTACAACCTTTGTAAGTCTTACCAACAAATGGCAATGTCATGGGAAATGAAAAAAAGATTGAATCGATAAAGGATTTAATTTTATTTAGATCCACAATCAATCCTCATGGACGCAACAGTCAAGAAATCAAAACAAGTACTGCAATGGGCAAATGTGCTATCAAGAATCACTTTAAGTCTATTCTCTCATAAAGTAAACCCACTCTCATCCTCTGAGGGTGTTGCTTTCTTACTCAATAAACTTGACTTTTTCTTTAACTTAAAAAAAAAAATCACATTAAAGCATTAGAGAGCCAGGATGCCACTTTAGAGACTAAGATGCATCTGACACAAGCCATGGTAATTCAATTGCTCCATATACCTATAAAAGTTGAACAATAAAGACAACCAAAGAACTGATGTGTTTAAATTGTGGTATTGGCAAAGACTATTAAACACACTGTCAAAAAAACAAAATTTTGTCTTCTCAGACAGTCACAGTCACAGTGTTACTTAAAAGCAAAAGATGTGAAATTTTGTCTCACATACTCGAGGTCAAGTTAGAAGGGGCTGCTGCTTGGGAAAGTAAAGAGTCAGTAAAAGAGAAAGTCTCAGCAGGATGATATGCCTGCAACAATGGGCTTAAAGCATATCAGAGGCTGTTAGGACAGTGCAAGATCAGGCAAGTTTCCAACCTGTTGTCTACAGGATTGCTATGAGTCACTCAACTAAATGACATCTAACAACAAAGACCTAGTAGTAAACATCAGCCTCCAAATGTTTATATTTTTATCATGTCAATGAGGAGTGATGCATGAATAGACAACAAAGATGAATAAAACCTATTGGGAAATTTAGAGTATATGACATGGCATTTCAAATCACTATAGCTGAGTTATTCACTAAGGAATGCTGAGAAATCTGGTAGCCTTTAAGATAAAGGTAAAACTATACTTCACATGTGACACAAGAATAAATTCTAGAAGGATCATAACTTAATTAGTCATAAAAATCATTTTGCAGCTGCAATCCTAAAGGTGCATGATTCAAATCCACTAGATGCTCCACTCTGGAGAAGGAGGGGTAATCTCCTCCTGTGTCAGTCAGATCCGATTCAACAGTACACAGCAAGAAAAACATACACACACAAAATAAATCATTTTGTAAAACACTTGTATACATAGAGGAATATTCATTTTATACTGCTGAACAACAACAACAAAAAAGCTGCTAAGAGCAGGATTGAAAAACATATACATGCATGTGTATGATAACATCTCTGTATGATGGATCAGAAGCAGTATATTTTCTTGCTTTTCATAAATTGTAAAATTTTTCATTGTGCACTATTTTTATAACGAGAAAAAATTAAGAGTAACTACTGAACAAAAATCACAAGTCTAGACTTTAAAATCTGATAAAATAGAACTTCATTTAGTGATATCAAATTATACTTCACCGTTTTCTGTCTTTAGATACTCCTGTTCACTCTGGGAAGCATAGATGGTAGACATTACTGAAAAAACAGAGGCTAGCACAGTCTTCTGTTCTTGAAGAATGATGGGTGGATCATCAGACTGGCAAAATTCATGGCATACTAGGTCAAAAAGTAAATTCCAAGTGTCTTTTCCAGCGTCAGGGCACTGTACTTGATAAAGATGATAAAAGAATAATTTAAAAGCAGAAAATTATTAAATGATTAAATAAAATATATCCCCCCGCCACCAAAACCATCTTACTAATTGCTTGGATTCCATCATCCACTGTGGTAAGTAGTTGTAAGATATGCATGTAGACATCCAGCCCGTCTAGATTTTCAGAACTAAACACAAAAAGCAAAAGCACTTCATAAACATCTTTTCTGTTGAAGGGATTGTACTCACGCAAACAATAATTCAATCAACTAACCTGTGCCACCAACTACATTGGATGGTGAGGATAAAAAAACTGCTAAGCACATTAAAGCTTACATTATAATGGACAGTTAAAACTCAAACAATAGTATATCATATAATCAATTATCCATAAAACAAGAAGTAAAAAGCCCCACTGGTCCTGCTCCACAGACACCCACTAACATCATTCTGGCTTACTTGAATAATCGAACAAGAAGATGACTGAGACTTTTATCCAGTGAATGTATGAGCCACTGCGCCAAGCATGAATAATGCATAATGTGCTCTCTCCTCATTCACTAGCTCATTATCTGGCATTTCAAATTCATGACTTCTTAAAAATTCTCAAATGGAGCATTATGTTGAGGGAAATAACTCAGTTACAGAAGGACAAATACTATATAAAACCACTACTGTGACAACAGAAGGGTAGCTGAGGGGTGGGGGGTAGGGAAGAACAGAAATGTAATGGGTAGACAAAGAACACTACAAGGACCAAGACAAGGGAGGATCAACTTGGGAATCAAGGTAAAGACAATATGGCTATTGCAATAAACTGGGAAAAGCGATACACATATATATTGTTTAAAAGGGGAAAGGGGAGTGGAAAAAGGAAGAGGAAATCACTAAGACAGCACAGACTAGTGGGGGGATGGGAACTTGAAGAGAGAGGGAGATAAAAGTAACAGAGCAACAGTAATTAACTACATAAAACACAATGTACAGAGATGGCTATATAAAACAAAATGTTCATGACTGGAACAATATATATGAATAAAATTTATATAAATAAATGATGGTATTATTTAAAAACAAAATTCTTAAGCGGGACCTCTAACAGTCCAACCCTCATGCAGAACTGCAGCTGAATCTGAACTACCCCACAAAGGCCACCCTGAATGATGTACCAGAAACCCCAGCAACAACTCAGCCATACAAGGGACAAAGGCCAACTGGCTATGGGATAACTTCTACAGTTTGTGATTTCCTGGTACAGCCACAGAAGGCACAGGGCAACACCAGGACAATGCAAGGTGACAGAGAGAAGTCCAAACGTACAGAGGTGGCTGGTGGAGGGAGACAGGAAGGTGAAGAGAAGGAAGGTGGCCACATGGGGCTGTGACAGAAGGAGCAAGAACGTGGTCCCTACTCAGAGTGTGTGGTGGCAGGTAGCACACAAAAACCAACCACCTCACCACCACCACAGCACCCCAACTCCTGTGGCCTCCACAGAAATGGGAAAGGAGTAGCAGGGAAGGACATGCCACTGTGCTATATGCATCCTGAAATACATCGAGGCACCCAGTGTGTGGTGTGCCTCAATCCCAAGCATGGGGTACTCCCCTAACTATCACAAGCAACATAATCTTTGAAACTTAAACTACGTTGATAAGTTAGGAGTAAATGTAAAGATGCTCTAGGGGAGCTCTGGTGGCCTAGTGGCAAGAAGCTGCAACTACAATCCCAGAGGTGCAGGGTTCGAATCCACCAGATGCTCTGCCGGGGAAGGAGGGGCAATCTCCTCCTGTACCAGTCAGATCTGATTTGATGGTACACGCACACAAAAATAATTAAAAAAAATAAATAAATAAAAAGATGCTCTAGAAACTTCAGAACATAATTCTAGTTTCCTTGCCAAGAACAATAAAATCAAAGAAGTACAGTAAAACCAATGCAAGCCAGAATCAATGTAAGGCAGAAACCTCTCAAAGAAGAAAAACTTATTTTCCACAGAAAAGTGCTAAGCCTTTATTCTGACAAAGGCAAAACAATTGCAAACCCCCCCAAAATAGAGTCTTGTTGAGCTTGTTCTTTCACCAGATTTCACTGTTCATTTTACATGTGAAAAAAAGAATTTATGTTTTGGAAAGACTGTTCTAGCAGGGTAGTCTTGGAAGGGCCATACGTAAAGGCAGGGAGTTCAGATAAAACAATGTTATAGTTAATTCAGGTGCAAGACAAGAGTAGCCAGTGTAGATGGCATTCCAGAAAAAAATCAAGAGTTGGAGGTTGATTGACTGTGGCAAAAGAGTGAGACAGAAAAATAATGACTTTCCTGTTTCATTCACATTACACAAATGGGTAACGAAAACATCATTTACTCAGATGCCAAAAATTGAACAATCAGATTAATAGGGAAAGAGTGAATTTAATCTTCACTTGGATTAAGAACAGAATATTAGTAAGAGTTTACTGTAACTTATTAAGCTTTAAAAGACACTAATTATCATCAAACAAATCAATGCATAAATTCATTTTCTAGGTCAACCCAATTCACTACCGCCAAGTCAATCAAATTACCGCAGACCCTCCAGTGGGTTTTCAAACCACATAGGAGGAGACAGCCATCTTCTCCCATGGAGTCACTGGTAAATTTGAACCACCTGCTTTTGGGTTAGCAGTGCAATTCTTTATCCACTAGGCCCCTAGAGTTCATAATTGTCCAAGTAGGTAGTAATGAATAGTTTCATGACCTGTAAGAACTAAACAGTCATTCTCTCCACGGTATCAAGAGGTCAAAAATCAGTCATTTCCCTAAGATGGAGATACAAACAAAAACCAAACTATGCCTGATACTACTTAAGAAATCATTATTGTTAGGTGCCTCATGTGACCCTATGAATAAAAGATCTGAACCTGGTCCTGTCCTGCACCATCCTCACACTTCCTGACACACAAGAGCCCATTGTAGCAGTCAATGTGTCAATCCACCTGGTTAAAGGTCTTCCTCTTCTTCGGCCAACCCTCCACCCTTCCCAACATCAAGTTCTTCTCCAAGGAACAGCACCTCCTAGCAATATGTCCAAAGTATGTGAGGTGAAGCTCCATCATTCTTGTCTCCAAAGAGCACTCCAGCTGCACCCTCTCCAAGGCATATCTATTCATTTTCTTGGCCATCCTGGGATGTTCAGTGCTGTTCACCAACACCAGAGCTCAAAGGCATAAATTCTTTTTCTGTCATCCTTATTCATTGTCCAGGTCTTGGATACACAGCTAGTAAGGCTATGGCCTCATTCAGATGCACCTTAGTCCTCAAACTGACATTGCTACTCCTCAATAATTTGGAACGGTCTCTAACTGCAGATTTTCCCAGTACAATGTGTCTCCTTATTTCCTGCTCGTACCAAGGGTGTTAACTGTGGATCCAAGCAAGATGAAGCTGTTGACAGTTTCAATCTCCTCTCCATCTATAATGACACTGCCTATTGGTCCATGATTAAGAATCTATCTTTTCTTGGTAGTTAGACGTAATCTATACTAAAGCTGCATTCCTTGATCTTCTGCAACAAGTGCTTCAAGTTTTCCTCACTTTCAGCAAGTAAGGATGTGTCCTCTGCATAACGCAACTTATTAAGGAGTCTCTCTCCAATCCAGATGCCACATTCCTCTTCATAGAGTCCAGCTTCTCAGATAATTTGCTCAGTATAATAGACTGAACAGGTATGGAGAGAAACTACATCCCTGAAGTCATTAATACGGGGGGTTTTTTCCAGACAAAATAACTTTTTAATATACATTATAAGAAATAACTTTTCTTTGTTAAATTACAAAAAATTGTAGATCACTTCATAATCTACAATAATGAACAGTATGTCTATAGCTAAATTACGTAAGTGTATTTTGTGACTATTATGATTCTTGCAAAGAGTCAGTGCATTACAAATAGAGTAAACCTAACAAAGATGAGTGTGTACAGTCTATCCTGTCTATAAGAAACTAATACTTAAGGATATTTCCAGTAACTGGATTTCCCCCAAACATTCTGCACAAAATGGATTAAGCATTGGGCTGCTAACAGAAAACACGGCAGTCCAAACCCACCAATTGTTCTGGGAGAGAAAGCAGAGGCTCCTCTACTCTTGTCTTATACAGTGACTATGAGTTGGAACCAACTTGATGGCAGTGGACTTGACCTGTACTTAATATTCTACATAGAAGAGCTCACCTACCGTACTTGTTTGGCAGCTTCGAGCACAGACGGCACAATCCTAAACGTTGACTCCTCTTCAGAATCTTGCTTAGGTTGATCCACAGCCGGGGCTGTCCCATTTTTAATCCATTCCAACATTAGTTTCTCATCCAAATCAAAGAGTTTATCTACAACCTCCCCCACCTTAACCAGCAAGTCAACTGCAGAGGATAAAACAGATTTTGAAATGAATGGCAAAATGTTTAAAAGTCTAATGTGGTTAATCTAAATTCCTAAGGCTTTCTAACAAAGTCCTATCTTGATTTGGAAAACCAGACCAAATAAACTCAATCCTTGCTGTCAAGTCAGAACGACTCACAGCTGACTCTCAAGTGGGATGCTGGTGCTGTAAATTGCTCAGGTAGAGATTGCCTATCCTTCTCCCTTGAAACTACTGGATGCGAACATTCAGAGCAGCTCTGATTTTGCTTAACAAGGCAGCACCCTATGAACTACTACCCTACCAGAGCCCCCTGACACCAAAGCATTACTTATTTCCAATCATTTGTTGGACTTCCTAAATTAAAACTGGCTGTTTTCCTTCATTTTTAAATGGAATCCTAAGGGTTTAAAAGAAGCTATCTTCAATAGAAATACTGTTTCATCTTGCATTTTGCTTTTATCCCCTCTAAATTAAAGTGACTGTCAGAAAATTTTATCATTTCTCACCAATTAAATATAATCTAAAGCATTTTTTCTCAATGATGTGGTAACTTACCATTTGTTGAACTTGACATGATGAAGCAAATGCTATCATAAATAGCTGGATATTCTCGTATTCTTTCAACCCAGACATTGGCCACTTCTGTCTGGGAAAGGCAAGTAAACAACAACCTACATGATAAATGAGATCTTAGTATCTCTCTTTCAAAAACAATGAGAGAAATTCAAGCAAGTGAAAATCATTCACATGAACAATTAAAACATATTTTTCTAGATTACTTTATGCATGAATTCATCAACTCAGAAAGAGAAAAGCACACCTGTTTATTTCCAGCAGAGTAGGAGGGTCTGAATCATACAAACAGTGCAATAATATCTGTCTAAAAAAACATAAACAAGTCACCCTAATGTGTCTCACTTCTGTCTCTACAAATAACAAGAATTTTAATTTCATTTTCAAACATTTTCATTTTGAGATATACACCACAAACAGCCTACAAGATACAAATCTACAGTTAATGCATAATAATATAGCAAATACTCTTATTTCCAAGAGAACAGTGCTACATCTGCAGAGTCTGTGTGTCCCTTACAACTTCCTCTTTCCTACCTAGAAATTACAACTATCCTGGCTTTTTCAATAATCATTTCTTTGCTTGGCTCTAGTGTTATTATCTTACATATTTTGCTTCTGTTTACTTTTTATATGAAAGAAATTACATTGAGTGTTATTATTCACTTAGTTCTCTTGCTTAACATTGATTTTAAGAATCATCCATGGTACTGCAGCTGTTATTCTTTGATTCACTGCTGCAGGGCATTCCACTGAATGATTTTAACATAATAATATGATTTTTTTTTTCCAGTCTACTATTGGTACACATTTGGGTTCATTCCAATTTTGAGCTATTTCAAGAAATACTATCATAATACAGAAAATTGCTATAATAATTCAGGTAAAGATAAGCATTTCATTAAATAAATCTGAGTCTGACCTTCCAATTTATACTTGCTAATAAATCTCATAATTACATTTTTCTATATGGAACAAAAGAAACTAAACATAATCAAGAGTCATTTACTCCAGTGAGAGAAGATCTTCACCCTGAAACCCACAGCGTCCCTTTTCAGCAGGAAGTAGCTAAGAGAATACGCCGTCCCCTTTTCCTTATGACTCAGGGTGAAGTCTCTCTCAGGGAGGAGTGATAGGGAATGGCAAAGGATACACTGACAAAGAAGATTAATCAGAACTGGCTTTGACAAGCACTGTGGCATTTGGACAAGAACAAACTGGGAGGAGGGTAGAGAGAATAGTACAACAATGAATGAGTGGAAGCCCAAAATCTCTGTAAATGTTTATGAAAATTAATAAAATATAATTATAGAAAAAAGAAAAAAAAAGAGTCATTTACTCCATGAAGACTGTAAATTATTGAGGAATAAATACCTTGAACAAAGAATATAAAGTCCTTTCACATCTAAAGAGGTAATCATTTTGTCAATAAATTGTTTTGGACTCTGGTCAACTGTCTCTCAACTCCAAATTTTACCCTTCAACTTTTTATCCTACATATGACTTACCACCTGCTGATAATTTAGGTCCTATTTCTAAGGAAAAAGAAAATACAGTTCATGCCTATAAAGAGTAAAGAAGCCCAAAGCGCCATCAATACAAAGTAAAGTTTCAAGAAAGTATTCAAAGGCAAGAACAGCTCACAATATTCTCCCATCTTTTCTATGGATTAGATTGTCCATGGGGACATGCAATATGAACCTGTTTTAAAAAGTTATTCTGAGGGAGCTCTGATAGCCTAGTGGCAAGAAGCTACACTGCAATCTCAGAGGTACACGGTTTGAATCCACCAGATGCTCAGCTGGAGAAGGAGGGGCAGTCTCCTCCTGTACCAATCAGATCTGATTTGACGGTACACACACACACAATAATAAAATTAAAAAAAAAAAGTATTTTCTGTAGTTTAAGACTTACCCAAGATTTCTGTCATTGCTAATAGATACACATATCTCCTGGAAACAAGCCATGTTGCCTAAAATCCCCACACAGATTTCCTGCAAAATCAATATTTACTGGTCACAACAGCTCAAAGGTAAAACACACATAACAACTTGAACAAAAACTTTCCTTGCGTCAAGAGTAGCAGGGAACAGAAAGGAGAGGTGCTTCTGAAGAAAGGCCTGACAATCAACTTTTAAAAATGAGTCATTGAAAACTCCATGGAGTATAGTACTACTATAGTATAGTACCCACAAGTCCCCAGGAGTTAGAATTCACGCAACAGCAACTGGTTATCCAATCTTTATATTAATGTGGTGGACCAAGTCAAAAGTAATTCATCAGTCTTAATTCAAGAGAAGTAGCCTATGAAGTAAACATTTTAATCCAACATTTAATTGGTAAAAACACATTACCATTTATCAGTATAATCCACAGTTGTCAGGTTACTTCTAACTCCTGGCGACCCTACATCAGGTTTCTGTGACTGTAAATATTCATGGGAAGGGCCATCTCCCTTGGAGCTGCTGTTAAGTTCAACCACTGATCGTTTGGCTCACAGGCACCAGGCTCCTTATTAATAAACTACAGATTTATTATTCTGAAGCTCCATCTCAAATATTTTGGACATCTGGCCAGGAAAGAACTGTCCTTGGAAAATGACATCATGCTCGGAAGGGTGGACAGTACAGGAGAGAAAGACCCTGGATGAGATGGATTGATACAGTAACTAGGGCAGTGAAGGGTGATGTGTCAGAATTAGTGAGACTGGCTCAGGACAGGACAGGCTTCAGAGCTGCTGGGCATAGGGTCATTATGGGTTGTGGGCAACTTTATGGCACATAACAACATTTTCCAATATACTACAAGTGTATGTATATTATAAACTAAAGCAAACAAAAGTAAGCAATACGGTTTGATAGTTACAGTCTTGCAGGCGCAGGTGCAAATCCAAGTGCCACTCTTTGGTAACTATATAACTGGACAAATTTCTTAAGTTGAGATGGGATCTCACCTATCACATGCAAAGCACATGGCAACTAGATGGCAATAAAGCACAGGGTAGGGCACAGTACACAAAGACTAAATAAGAACCACAGATGATTATTCCTAAGAGTTAACAATCAGTAATCACCAAATGGTCTTTCCAATAACTTGCTATGCATCTGAGAGCTGGACAATGAATAAGGATGACAGAAGAATTAATGCCTTTGAGCTGTAGTATAGGAAAAGAATACTGAATATCTCATGGACTGCTAAAAGAACAAACAAATACATCTTGCAGAAAGTGCAGCCAGTGCTCCTTGGAGACAGAGATGTTGAAGCTTCATCTCACATACTTCAGGTATATTGCTAGGAGGGGCTACTCCTTGGAGAAGGACATCATGCTTGGAAAGGTGGAAGGTCAGTGAAAGAGAGGAAGACCTTCAACCATGCTGACTGACACAGAGACTGCTGCAATGGGCTCTACTGTGTCAGAAGTGTGAGGATGGCAGAGGACGGGACAGCGTTCATAGATCAGCTCAGATCTGTTCATAGAGTCACTATGGGTTGTACTGAACTTGATGGCACCTAGTAACAACAAAATCAACAATCACAACTGAGATTTTATATTTTTAGGAAAGGCTTAGAAGAAAAGAACTATTTGGGACAGAAGATGTGAGTAACAATAAAAAGCAGAAGGCTCACAAAGGCAGGTGCAAGGATGGGCGATGAGCACAGCATTACACGTGAGACAAAGAGCAGGCAGGTCTGGCCCAATCAGTTAGACTCAAATTATGGCAAGTCTTAAGCAAGAGCCTGAATTTAGCATAAACTTTAAGAGACGGTTTTAAAGAACAATGAACTGAGAAATAGGAGATTTAGGGACTATTCTCTTCCCTGAAAGACACCAGCATCTTAACTTGGCTAAGTTATTCAACCTATCAGATTTCCATAGTCTTGGTCTCCCCGGTCACAGTAAAATCTAAAATTCTATGATGGCACTATTTTAAATAACACAGTGTCTTGTCTGGTAGATTTCAATAAACATTTACAGGAGGATGTACCAATTTATAGCAAGAAAAAGAAAATAAATTAAAGTGAGGAAAAATGATGGACTACCCAATACTGTCTGAAAGGCTCTAGAAAAGTACATACTTACTCTTAATCGAGGACATTTGGATTTTGCCAAAACTCCCATAAATATATCAGGAGCATTAAATTCTTGGAGAAATAAAGCCACATCCTGCAAATAAAATTCGTATTGACTTAGATGCTAAACATTCTTCTTAAAACCCCATAACTTAGTCAACAATGACAAATTCTTATACTCTATATACCTCCTTTCAATGTTAAACACACACACACACACACACACACACACACGGTCAGGAACTGTATCAATACACAAAAAAATAAAGTTAAAGGTCTCTGTTTCCAAAGCATGGAATTATCCTATAAAGAAAGTTAAGCTTAAAAAAAAAAAAAGACATTTAAGCTAATTTTGATATTCCAGAGAATTGTTCTTTTTCCACCATAAAGGTTATTTCATTTACCTGATGATTTTTCTATCCACCAAAAATTCCTATTAACTCATTCAAAACATTTGCTAATTGTCAGAGTTCATGAAAAAACCTGGAGAAAAAAGTTGTTGTTGTTGACTGCCTTCGAGTCAAGCACAGCTCACAACGACACCATGAACAAAAGGCCTGAAGCCCCTCTACAACTAGCGACATTTATCAAAGTTCATAGAGTTTCTGGAGGCAAGTTGTTTACGAAGTAGTTGTCACTCCTACTTCCAAACCTGTCATAGAATGTTATTGTTGTTAATGTGGCATTGAGTAACCTGCAATGTACAGAGACCCTATGTACAGCAGATCAAAACCCTTCCCTGACCTGAGCCAGTCTCACTAATTCTGACACACCAAGCCCCATTACCTGAGTCACTGTATCAATCCATCTCATTAAGGGTGTACCTCTCCTGCGCTGTCCATCCACCCTTCCAAGCATGATGTCCTTCTCTAAGGACCAATCTTTGCTGGCCATCCACCGAAAGTGAGTAAATTGTGGCTAACCTTGAGAAAAACGGGAATCTCAGAACATTTGATTGTGCTTATACGAACCCTATACTTGGACCAAGAAGCAGTCCTCAGAAGAGAGCAAGGAAACACCGCATGGTTCAAAATCAGGAAAGGAGTGTGTCAGGGATACATCCTGTCCCCACACCTTTTCAATCTGTCTGTAGAACAGATCATTTGGGACGCAGGGCTTTATGAGGAGGAGTGTGGCATCAAGATTGGAGGAAGACTCATTAATCATCTATGATATGCAGATGACACAACTTTGCTGGCAGAAAATGAAGAAGACCTGAAGCACTTGCTGCAAAAGGTCAAGGAGATTAAAGAAAATTCCAAATTTCTAGTCACCAAGAACTTAAAACATATTAAGGAAAATTACTACTAAATTTTCACAATGTTTGCAAAATCCTCAACAGAAAGGAAATTGTGATCTCGATGTACTTACGACACTTCATATCCCCTTCCTACACATTCCTAGAGTATGTCCAGTTCCCACATCACCCAGATGACTGAATCTGGAGTAGACACATGACCCAAACTGGGCCAAATCTTACCTCGAAATCTGGGATACAAAAATGTCAGTAAACTGTGGAGACACATACTATAAAGTATCACCACTGATCTTTACCAAATAAATGTCTGGGGTACATTTGGGATAACTTAACTTAAAATAGAGGCTGCAAGGCTGAAGTTAAAATTCACTTCAGAGGACAATGAGAACACCTCAGAAAAGGGGCAGTCATTCCATCAAACAGCTGAAACCAAGGTAACCTGTGTGACTGCTGATTGGAACAGACAATACTTACATACCAAGTCACTTCAGTCTTTACTTCATACTTGACATATCAAGTCCCTTCATTCACATCAGAGATGCTTTCAAAGACATGTCATAAATTTAAAGTCCCACAACAGATGTTCTATTTTGGAGATTAAGCTGTTTCTTTATGGGCAGCTCTTTGTATTATGAGAACATTTAATTATTTAATGATTCCATATAACAAAACAAAAAAATGACCGAATGAGATTGTTGTTCTGAACCTGAGTTGAAACTGACTCCACAGAGAGTTTTCAGAACAGCAGTACCAGAGTCAAAAGTGACCGATGTCTGAGCCTCCAGAGAGTTTTCAGAGGCAGGAAACCACACTGGAAGAGAACGTGCATCATTCTTCTACAGAGCAGCTGGTGGGTTTGAATCATATGCCATTAGCTTGGGAGTCCAACTCCTCACCACTACGTCACGAGAGCTTCCCTAATGACATTAATGTTGTTATGTGCCACTGAGTCAGAAGCAAATCATAGCTGACTATCCAGCAGGTTTTGAGACGTAAATATCATGGAAGGAGATTGCCCACCTTTCTCCCGTGGAGCAATTGCTGGTTGTGAACTGCATGCATTTGGTTAGGCTATAGAGTATCTTACCAATAGCCCAACAGAGCTCCCTCTGAAGATGCTAGCAGCACCAATTAGAATAATGGCAGTTAAAGATTATTTCTTACTAAACACCTTAAGTGCTTTGCATACTATCTCATTTATCGTCACAATTCTATGGACTGCCAAAAGAAAACCAAGTGTGTCTGTAGGATTTGCAGCCAGGGTGTTCCTGCAAATGTAGGATGCAAGGATGGTAAAACTTCATCTCACTCACTTTGGGCATGTTGTCAGGAGGGACAAGTCCTTGAGAAAAGACATCATGCTGGGAAAGGTGGAGGGTCAAAGAGAGGAAGATCCTCCTCAACAAGACAGAATGACAAAATAACCAAAACAACGAGGGTAAACACATAATGGATGGTAAAGATGGTGTAGGACAGGCTAAGGTTCAGATCTGTTGCTTGACTCTTTAAAAATGGGTAAGTATCAAAATAACTGGGCATTTAATGAGAGCTGTACTTTTAACCTGAACCAAATGAGAGTTTCTATTTTCAGAGACAAAATTTACACATTCATAGCTTATGAAATCTCATTCACTGCACCCACACAGAGAACTGATTCCAGATGATTAGACACTGAAAAGTAGAACTTTCCTCCAGAGACTGAAGGAAATCCATTCACCACCCTATCACCCAATAGTCTTTTCAGAATTTAATTGCAACAACCCCATACCAACCTCATCCATTGACATGTCCCACACTCTGCAAATTTCATTCTCCAATTTTTCATCAAGCTCCAACTGCTGCTGTTCATCATCTGAGCTGGATTTGGTGTTTTCAGGATTACTAATCTTTAAAAAAAAAAGGGAAAGAAAAGGATGATAAAAACCATTGGTATTAACGCAAAATGGATTCACACTTTCGTTTACTGCTGCTGAGTTGGTGCCCATGCACAGTAACTGCCCAGTGGGTTTCTGAGGCTGTAAATCACGATGGGAAGAGGGGACTGCTCATCTCTTTCCCGTGGGACTGCTGGTGGACACACAACACACTTTCTGTGTAAGCAGTGCAACTACTTACAGACTATACTATCAAAGCTCTCTTGCCAGAATGCAAAATCTTGTCATTCACTTTCATGAAGGACCTACTATTTTCTAGACAATGGAATAAGGACACAAAGATATGAACTCTTCCCTTTAAGTAGCTTAGATCTAGAGAAGAAAAAGTGTACAAACTGATAATCATCAAAGAAGGGTCTAAAGTATTCACGGACACAGAGTCAATTGAATTGAGTCTGTCAACTGAACTGTGAACAGAGGTGTGGAAGTAAAATGAAGGAAAAATAACTTATGCCTGAAGAAGTTTGAGGAAAGTATCTCTTACCTGATCTCTGAATTAAGCTTTGGACTTTTCCTCTAAACAAACTAGCAAACGGGAGTTGATTTACCAGCTGAGAAATGGGAGAAGAACATTTAGCTAACAGGAAAACAAGATTTAAAATAAGAGGAAATGGTAATAATGTTGGGAAATAGGCTGGGAATGCAAAGCTAAAATCTGCATTTTTCTCCTGAAGGTAAAAGAACTAAAAGGAGTTTCAGAACACTTTTTTTTTTTTTTTAACAAAGGGAAGATTATTCTGGCAACTATAGAAATTATGTACTAAGGAGTACTATGCATCCAATAATCTAGTATTATGCAGACTGAAATTAAGAAAATTAATTAGGGGAAATTAAGAAAAAGTGAAAGCACCTTTACTATACAAGTATCTGCTGGAGGAAAAAACAAACTAAGCACTCCATGGCCACTATAATCCGGTGATTTTACATAAACTGGGAAAAACTGGACCTCTGAACCTTAAGAGTCTTGCTCAGGTGACGCCGCTCAGGTGAAGTCAAGACTTTAACGCAAAGCTACAGGAAATCAAAACCACACAAATCCGATGACAAAAACCCATGATAGTTAGGACCTAGGGGTCCCCGACGACGATGACAGACAAAAAGCCAGGAAACGTGTTTGTCTACACGACTCCGTTTCTTTTGTAAAAGGAGCCCCAGCGGCGTTCTCCCTAACGTGTTGAGGTGCTAACTGAAAAGTGAGCGGTGTGAATGCACGAGCTGCGACCCTAAAGGAAAGCGATGAGGACTGTCCTCCCATAGATCTACAGCCTCGGAAACTCGATGGACGATCGCTAAGGTGCCAGGCAGGCTGCATTCGACAGCAACAAGCTTAATGTGCTGGGGATTTAAAGCTTTTAACTGCACGTCTTCCAATAACCCTGCCTCTGGGCCGCCCTTTGGTGCAGAAAGGCACCAGAGTAGCCACAGGCCGTTTTGGGGTCCAACGGAGGTAGTGCCTGGAGGGGGTTCAGCGTTGGGGGACCTCGACTTCGGCGACAGGAAGGAACTATTTTGGACGGGAGAGGCGCAAGTTAACGCACCTGGAGGAGTTCGCTGAGGACCCCGAAGAGCCAGTGCTTGCTGTAGACAGTGTCGCCTATGCAGTCACCAATGGCCACCTTCTCATCCTCCTCCTCCTCCCGGGTACGCAGCGGAGGAGACGGATTGCGATCCATGGTTCCACAGTCACCGACTCGCGCGCCCCACGCCGGAAGTAACCCGGAGAAGCAAGAGCCCGCCTCGCCCAGAGGGCCCGGCTCGCTGGCGCGGCTCCTGCCACAGCGCCCCCTGCTGCACAAATCCTAAGAGGACCTGAAGGCCCGGCCCAGCCCAGCCCGCTGGGCCCGCTTCCAGACTCCCTTCACAGGATTTACTCACTTCAACCTCACGCTACCATGAGTCTTAATTATAGTGGCTATTTGTTATCCTCTCTGGTAAGAAATTGCGCTGACAACTCAAAGGTTGACGGTTCGAATCCACTGGCTGCTCAGTGGAAGACTATTGGACAGTCTCCTCCTGTGCAATTTACTGCCTCGGAAAACCCACTAGCGGGTCAGCAGCTATGGGTCGGGTAAGAGCAGTTACCTCTTGGAGAAATCGCAGCCAGAGTGCTCCTTGGAGGTAAAGGTAGCAAAGCTTTGTCTCACATAGTTTGGGCAGGTTGCTTGGAGAGGCTGTTCCCTGGAAAGGGACATCATGCTCAAAAAGATGGAGAATCAATGAAGGAGAGGAAGACCCTCAACCGGACGGATTGGCAAAGTAACTGCAGCAATGGACTCAAGTGTGTCAGAGATGATAAAGATGGGATAGGATAGGATAGGATAGGATAGGATAGGATAGGATAGGATAGGATAGGATAGGATAGGACAGGACAGGACAGAATGGAGTTCAGATCTATTGCTCATAGGATCGCTGTGAGTTGTACTTTACAGAACCTAACAACTATAACAAAAGGGTCATTTATGAGTGCAGTCAATCTTACCGCACCGAATAACATCAACACAATATTTGCTATGGAGAGTAATCAATATTAGGAAAAGGTATCTGATTGTCTAAAGAATTTGAGGATACAGAGTAAATAGGTCCAATGAAGGAGACAGCTCAGGACTAAGCTGAGATCTGGGAGACAAAATCATAAAAGAAATATGTAGACAATTAAGGAAAACTTCCAGCACCAGCATGGCAGTGGGTTCAGCACTGGAAAAGGAAGTTCTTCAGACTAATGATCAGTGGATACTGGAGGTCAAAATGGCAGGCTTATTTGGGGGATGCAGTCATCATCATATAAGGATTGTGGCAAAGTAGTTAAATATTGAGCTACTGGCGAGCTCTGGTGGCCTAGTGGCAAGAAGCTGCACTGCAATCCAAGAGGTGCATGGTTCAAATCCACCAGATGCTCTGCTGGAGAAGGAGGAACAATCTCCTCCTCCTGTACCAGTCAGATCTGATTTGATGGTACACACACACACACAAATAATAAAATAAAATTAAATTTAAAAAAATATTGAGCTACTAACCAAAAAATCAACAGTTCAAATCCACTAATCCCTCTGTGGAAGAAAGATATGACCGTTTACCCCCATAAAGACTTGTGGTCTTGGAAACTGGTAGAAAGTAGAGGGAGCCAAGTCTGAATTCTACCCACTTTGTAAAGGAGAATTGTCGCCATACAAGATCCGTGTTGTTATTGTGTACCAAAGAGTCTGAACCAAGCCACAGGTGACCCTCCAGTGGGTTTTTCTTTCCCCTGCAGAGCAGCTGGTAACCCTGAACCACGTGCCTTCCTGATTGCAGTGCAGCTTCTTGCCACTAGGGCACCAGAGCGCTCTAATCATACAAAGAGCTACGTGATCAAACATACCACCCCACACCTCCTGCACCTATTTCTACCAATTACTGGGATCCATTTACCTTGTAAACTGACTCACAGACTTTATTCACAGTTAAGGGCTTTATTAGAGATATAGTTTGGGGAGTGGGGGAGGCAAAGAATATCACCAGTACCAGTCTAAGTTTAGTCCCACAGTCCCAAGCCAGATTAACAGCAAGACATAACTCCTAAGTTAATTCAGACAGCTTCTCAGTCAACAAATGAAAGTCTAGATTCAGTTCAGCAGCACAAATAAACCTCTGGTTTCCTCAATCAGCAAACTTTATGTCAGAGGGTCAAGGAGACAAGGACAAGACTGACAGATGCCACTCTGGAATCTGTATTTGAAAGAGAGTCTGGTTGTTTCTTACCATTTGTTCTCATTAGTACCTAGGAATCAACCTAGGAAACGTCGCCTCACTATAGGGCATAGCCCTCATTCCCGACCTGTCAGACCTGAAACCCAAGATTGTACAAGAGGAAACCAAGATGGTACTGATGGAAGAAGAGGGAATGAGGATGTATCATAACATAATCAGAAAGCATGTTTCACATATTCAACTGTGCTCAGCACAGAACTCCTAGACACAAAAAAATTTCCTATAATCACACAAACATTTTAAAAAGTTGTTGTTGTTGTTATGTGCCGTCAAGTCGCCTGCGACTCATAGCGACCCTATGTACAACAGCCCTAAACTCCGCTCTGTCCTGTGCCAATCGCACTGTCTCTAACACTCCCATCACAATTATCCCA